TTTTGATTAGTTTATGTATTGAATATTGTTTTAAAGGCTTACTTATAATCTTGTAATTTTAAGTTACAATTCATTTTCTGTGGGTTTTTAAATCTGAAAATAACTGTCTTTTCCTAAAGCAAATACATATATTCTGGTCAGTGACTCCAATATTGTAAAAAATTAAGTAACATTCGGCCATTTTAGTAGAAGCATTGGATTTTAAATATTCCTCTTAGCTTTTCTGTTTCTGAGTATGTATATTATTTTAATAGAATAAACAGAAGGAAAATGAAAAAGAAGGAGCATCAAATTCAACAGCCGATGATGGACCTGGAGAGGGATTCACTATACTCTCCTCCAAGAGCCTTGTTCCTGGACAGAAGGTACAAAATTAAAGGGTAAAAAGTTCTGTACTTCAAAAATATTCTCCAGTGAAAAGATCTATATTTATCTTTTCTTGCAAAAATTTAACTCTGAATTCATTAGCACTTTAGTTAGTTGCCTCACTTGGTAAATGAGTAATGTAAGATTTGTTAGTGATTTTCAGCAACGTTCCCCTCCTTGTAGCCTGAACAAGCCTGTCACCATTATCCTGGAAGAATTGCAAATGTTGCCTTATGGGCCTGCAACTCTTAGAAAATATTTCAGAGTATCTACTTGGCTATTGTATATAAAAAGGTACCTCCCTGGAAAAGTGTTTGATACAAGATTCAGGAATAAACATCAACATAACTTTGATACTTCTGAGTACAGTACTTGTTGCAACTTCTTCATTGAAAAGTATGAACTAGTCAGATGAAATTCCAAATTGATTTTATCTATGCAAATTAAAAGAAGTAGATGATTATTTTATATTACAATAAATTGAATATAATTTTAGATATATATATATATATATATATATATATATATATACACACACACACACACACACACACACACACACATATACATACACACACACACACACATACACATACACTCACACATATATATACGGTAAATGCAAAAACCTCTTGTCCTGAGCCACCAATAGACAAAAAGGATGCATGTTTCTTAAGTATGTCCATAATTACTTCTTCCTATGCAGATGCTGAGAGTATGCATATTAATTAGGTTATTAAGAATAATCATTTGGAAAATAAAATACTAAGCATGTGTACATAGAATATTATTTTGTCTTGCATTTGAATAGTTAAGGTGTATTACTGTCACTACATATCCCGTGGAAACATATAACCGGAGGCCCAGCTATTGCTGTGCATATGTGTAACAAGACTGGTTAGATGATTGGCTTTAAAAGTTGGCAGGCAACTCAATAGAGGTGGGATGATTCTATTTTTTTTTAATTATAAAGATAAAATACCGTTGGGTTTTATAAAACTTGTTGCTGTGTTCATAGCTAATTTTCACAAGGCAACCAGCACACAGAAGAGCCTAGAAATTACAAGATGAAGTTAAATTAATTATATCAATTAAATAGTTTACAGGAAGGAAGGAAGACATTTCATACAGTTCAGAATTAATTAAAAATATTGCCCAGCCCAATTTATGGGATGGATATATTTGATAACTAATAAAATGATAAATAATTGAAAAAAGCGAAAACAAGTTCATGAAAGAAGGATAGTGAAGTCCTTATTTCTAGATGACATGTTGGGAACAAAAAATTTTATAAGACTTTTATAACAAGTTTCTTGGAGTCTAGTTTCACTAGTTCATAATCTTCAAATTTAGGTTTGTTTTTGTTTGTTTGTTTTTGATCCTGTTGCATTGTCATTTTGCAGTTATCTTTGACACAAAGTGACATCAACCATATTGGTTCAATGAAAGTAGAAGGTATTGTGCATCCGACTACTGGTGAAATAGACCTCAAAGAGGAAGTAGGTAAGTCTAAAATTATTTTGAAGCAAATAGAAATACTTGAAATATCTGAATAGTATTTTTTTCCCTGTAGGAACTACTGAATCTGTTAGTCTTTAAACTTTTTAATAAGAGTTAAAAATAGGAAATGTAATTGCTCTAGAAAGTACTATAAGTATTACAGACAACTAAAAGTATGTTTTATATATATATACATCTAAGTCCCACTGGAAAGTTATGTTATACATGTATAAAAGCTTTTAAGATACTATTGTTAGCAACACACACACAAACACACACACATATATAAAGACACAGAGGATAAATATTTTATTGTCAATGATAAAAGAAAACTGTAATGAGAGAATCAATTCCAAAGTAATGATTGACCATTCAATTTGAATCTGTATATCTGCATGAATACATAGAGACCCGTTCAGAACTGCAATAGAAAAAAAACATGCCTTCCTTTGTCTTCTTTCTGGTCAGGCAAAGCATTGGAAAAAGCTGGTGGTAAAGAGTTCTTAGAAACGGTAAAGGAACTTCGTAAGTCACAGGGACCTTTGGAAGTCACGGAAGGTAAGATCTTTGTTAATTATGTAAAATCTACTTTAGTCACATTTTTAAAAATACCAGCCTGGGGGAAGGAATCAGTAAAAAGTAAGTGGGTAATGCCTTTATTAGGGCAATCAAATTAATCTAAAAGATGCTTAAGCATTTCAGAGAAGGCATCTTTTTTGGATGACTCTGTAAAAAACAGAGTGAAAAAGGATTATATGTAGAGTTGGTGTTTGAACATCTTCAGTTTCAAGTTGGTCTTCAGGTAGTGGCAATAAAGTCAGTGGGGGTCCTGTTGATCTCCAATACATCAGTTTAAGCAAGAAAAAGGAAAATTTAATTCTCTCCCACATTAAAAAAAAAAATGACGGTCCATCCATTAGCACAAAGGTTTCAACCTCTGGACTGTGGCCCACTGCCAGGCCCAGTCTGTTCAGAACCAGGCCGTGCAGGCAGCATGCACATGCATGAAGCTCCTGACCTGTGAGCAGGGGTCCCTTGCCCTCATGTGCAAAGCTGCCCCCATACAAGCGGCAGCCCTCTGCCCCCATATTAGGCTCGCATACGAAGCTCCCCTTGCGTGAGCAATGACTACTCCCTTTGCGTGAGTAGTGAGCACACGCACCCACCAGTCACACAAAACTGCGCACTCTCTCGCATGCACACCTGCTACTCACAAGGAACCCCCCCCCCCCCCCCGACTCCCCCGGGGCTGGCTGCCAAGCCAGAAAGGTCGGGGACTGCTGCATTTGTATATAGGCTGCTTGACCTGGCAGAACTGAAATGTCAGAGCCCTTATATAAACAACGATGGGATGATTTTGTTTGATGGCTAGGATAAAACCAATTAAGCCAATTTATATTTATTTTATGGTTCTTCCTTTTCTACGTTGAAAAGCATGAAGGCAAGGTTTTAAAAAATTATGAATCCCCAATTTATATATGGGGCCTCCATCCTGGCAGTACAGGAAATGACAACCTTTACTCCTAATTCTGGAAGAATTCTTTTGTTGTCCTGTGATGTCCAATTGAAGGTTATGGGAAAGAGAAATATAGTAGTATATAAATTATATAGTTCTGCCTAAGGTAATAGACTCATTTTCCCCCTTCAGCTGCTCTCGGTCAGGCTACTGGTCTAGCAGCAAAATTTGTCATTCACTGTCACATCCCACAATGGGGTTCAGACAAATGTGAAGAACAACTGGAGGAGACAATAAAGAATTGTTTAACTGCTGCTGAAGATAAGAAGCTGAAGTCTGTGGCTTTTCCACCTTTTCCCAGTGGCAGGTATTTACTATATAAATATCTTAATAGAATTAGCACATGCCTTTTGTGATACATTTAAGAAAATAGCTGGTAACAACTGGTCTTATAACATCTAATTGAAATATATACCTCAGTCTAGGATGGTCTTGTATGTGGTGTTTAAAAACGGTCTTCAGAGGTTTCCCAGGAAGAACTATTATCCAAACAGCAGATATCCTCTATTGACATACATTTGTTAGCACAAATTAACATTTTGTGACATATTTAAGGAAATAACTGGTAGGCTTGCCAGCATAAATCTCTTTCATACACTGTGAAAAATTCCCTATACTACATGATATATAGATATTTAGTAGGCGTTTTTTTTTTCAGTTGCCATAACTTACTGCTAAATTTTATTTGTTTCATGTTGCATCTTATATTTGAAACATTGGGGCCCAATAGGCTCATACAGGAGTATTTTATGGAAACTCCTTTTGATCACATTATTTTGATTGCGTCTGCATTTCCAAAGTGGTGGCTCAACAGTTAAAGACATTAAGCTCGTCAACTGGAAAACTGACAATCTGTGTCAAATTCCTGTTATGAGCCTCAGCACCTATCCACCTAGAAGTTTGAAAGCATGCAAATCAAGTAGATAAATAGGTACCATTTAGTGGGAAGGTATGTTCCATGCACCTCAACAAATAGTCTTGCTGGCAACATGGCCACGTAACTCTCTGGACAATGCAGGCTCCATTGGCTAAGAAACGGAGATGAGCACCACCTTCCAGACATTTACTTTATCGTGCACTACTTTGATCTATTTGTTTTAAACTCAGTTTTCCATTTTCCCACCTTATATTTGACTGGATTATTTGCCAGCCTTTTTCCCAACATCTCTGCTTTTTACCAGTCAGTCCGCACTAACATCTTTCTTTTGAGTGCTATTACATTTGGATGGCCCGAAACCTTGCCTTAAATTATCTACCTAGAGGGATGAATCTGTACATTACTTGGCATTGAGCCCAGTAAATTTGTGAAAAACCAAGGTGAGTACCCCAAGTAAGATTCAGCTTATTAGTTATTTACTTACAATATATAACAATTATATATTGTTTCACCATTTAAGACTTAATGTTTTGCTACTTGAACATTAATTACAACCTTTCCTTCTTTGTTTAGAAATTGTTTTCCAAAGCAGACTGCAGCCCAGGTGACTCTGAAAGCCATTTCTTCCCATTTTGATGACTCCAGTCCTTCCTCCTTGAAGAACGTTTACTTTCTGCTTTTTGACAGTGAGAGCATTGGCATCTATGTGCAGGAGATGGCAAAGCTAGATGCAAAGTAGTAACAGAAGCCAAATGAAAATTTATTTTTCAACATGAATATGAGTAGGAATGGGAATTAGAAGTGGGTTTTATTTTTAAAATATTGTGAGGACGGAATATGTGAGTAGCTTTGAAGTTTTGTGATGGGTGAAGGGCTTTTGTTATTGAGGGAGAAAGGGGGGAATTGTTTGAGAGAGTTTGAGCTGCAGATATATCATGCGTTAGGCCCTCTACATTTTGTATCTTCCCCAAGAAATTATTTTCCCAATTCATTACATTTTAATGTCTCAAGTTATTTTAGTTTAGACTTTTTTAAAAAAAAATAATCTCATTATAGAGTAGCAAACAATTCAATGCATCCATCAGTTGAAAAATGTGGATTGTTTGCTTCCCTTTATTTTCCCACTGGTAGTTAGAAATCTTTATGTTGTGTCTATGTTCCATGATAGAGAAGATAATTTTGACTCACTTGGTGCTTTACTGTTTTATCCCAGAATGACCTGTAATTGCTGAAAAAATATTTCATCTTATTTGTTTTGATAAAAAAATAGCATCATGCTTTTTTAAAACTTTAACCTTGTGTATTATTCTTGTTCATTTCCATAAACATTTAAAGTGGCTTCAAAAGTAAGAAGTTTCTCGGAAGAAGAAGACAGTTCTGTTAATATTCTCAAATTCAACATTGCAATTAGTATTTGCCAAAGGAAGAGGGAGCTGTAAGACTGTCTCTTCAACTTTACTAATATGAACAAATATTAGAGAATCTGACATGAATAAATGATGGAGAGAAAAGGAAGGAAGGACAATTAAATACTATTTTACAGAATACTGATTTAGCACAGGGAGCTCCTTTAATAGTATATTCAAGTGCTAGTTACATTTCTCCTTTTTTCTCAACTTAAGGGCACTGGTATTTTTCCCCATCACTAACTCTTTTCCCATAAGAATTTGAATTAAAGTGCTAAAGAATGTTTAAGAGTGCTTATACAGGCCATAGCACACCAACATGTGTGCACTGCGTAGATATATCTAGCACTGAAAATTTCTGAGCCTAAACCTTGTTTTGTGTTCTACACTTACATGATAATCAATTCCTCCATTCAAAATTTAATTTAGACCAATATCCATGTTAGCTGATTAACAACATACAAACCAACTCCAAAGTCTAATGTGAAATAGTTTCTACCAAGATCTACTGATAAAATCTACAATCTAGGTTTTAAGCTTAGTTTCCTAAAAGTAATTGTGATTTAATGGAAGCAAAATCCGCATCACTAATTCATCACAGGTACCCTCGGTTCTGTTTTTGTTTTATGGCAGTTCCATTCCTAGCATGGCATATGCTGATGCATTTTCTTCCAACTTTTTGAGATGAAAAGATCTTTACTTTTGAGAACAGTCACTAAAAGATGTCCTACATAGTATTCACGTATTTGTCCCACTCCATCATTACTTCCCAGGGAGATAAGGAAGGTAAGCGATCCTAAAGAGGAAGCACAAGATTATTTACAAAAGAAGAAACAAAACTGTTATCTGACTCACCATCTGAACTTGCCAGAGTACAATTGGCTCTAATAACTCAGTTTCCACAGTTGGAAAGCTTGTGTGGATTTCTTAAAAAAAAAAAATTAGGCTTGATCAATACTTTTCAGGAGGTTACCAAGATATTAGACTGAAGCGCCAACAGTACTTCCATTAGCTTTAGTGTTTATAATATAATAATAATTATAATAATAATATTATAAAATAATATAATTATTTTAATTTCTCTTTAGAATCTTAGGAGGATTTTTTTTAAGAGTATACCAATCCATGCCAACAATTGGTTTACGTATTGATTTTTCTATTTTCCAATTCAACATCCATTCTGTTTAGGAAACATTGAAAATATTGTACAAAAAAACAGCACAAGAGTGTATCAGATCTAATTATCTCTCTGCAATTCTAGCTTCAAAATACTATTAGATTTTGAATTAGATACGGAGAAATATTTGTTGCATTTTAGTTAAGGATGTGCATCTCTGAGAGACAAAAGATGTAATTCATAGTCTGACCTGGTTTATAGACTTTCAGAGGCTTCTCAGTCAGGCTGTTGATAATATTGGACACCACAACGTTTGCATGGAGCTGAGCATGATATGCCATCTTTGGTTCTTTCACATCTGAGCAGTCACCAATGGCATAGATATTGTCATATCCCACAATCTGAAGGTAGTCATTCACTTTCAAAGCACCATTATTTGCCAGCTGGTCTCCTAAGTATATTAGACACAAGGAAGTCATCTATGAATGTCAGCGGCTAGCACAAAACTACATGTACTAGTATCATATGGGTCATCGCACTTTTTGATTTTTTAGTATTAAAAAAAAAATCCTATTTGTATTTCAAATAAGATGAAATCTGAGATACACATAAAATAGTTAGGAGTTATGTTTGCCTACTTTATTCAGCGAAGTCTCAATTTTGAAAAATGGGTTGGATCATGAATCACAATCACAGCAAATCTATTTAAACAAAAGATCACTATGCTCTTTTTATACCCTATCACCATACATATCGGTACATACATCTGCTTTTATTTGTATCCTGCTTTTTATTATTTTTACAAATAACTCAAGGCGGCAAACATACCTTCCTCCTCCTATTTTATCCACAATAACCCTGTAACGTGGATTGGACTGAGAGAGAATGGCCCAAAATCAGCCAGTTGACTAAAGCAAACTTCTGGTCTCTTGCTTTCCTGCTTGGTGTCTCAACCACACCACCAAACTGGCTCTTAATTTAATCTATTTAAATTTAGATTTATTTAAATTTAATTAATTTAATCTGCATTTAACACCAAGCTGCGTGCATAAAATATTGCCATGTCAAACATATATCTGATGAAAAAAGGTATTCTATTTATTTCATGAAAGAGCCAACCCTGTGAATAATCTTCCAACTGTTCATTTAAAAAGGTTGCAGTATTAAAATTAAATATAGTCAATCGTTTTTTTAAAAAAATACTGAAATATTGATAAAGAATGATAGCTAGGATTTGAAATAGAGTGTGGAACCTGCAATAATTAAGAATTTGTGGACAAAATTAACTTACTGAATGCGCTGCTATATGCTGAAGAGTTTATTTTTATTCCAGTGCACGGAATGACCAGATCAGCAGCAACCTCTGTTCCTTTATCAGTCTTCACCATCATGTTCTCTTTGAATTGGTTTAAAGACAGCATATGGAGATTAGAAACTTTCTGACCTATTAGGAGAACCAAAAAGCAGACACTGCATTTCACTGAACTTTGAAGGTATAATACCTACAGTACTTTTGGCTTTAAGATATTACACTTAACAGCTTGTTGATTAATTTTAATTCTATTAATTAAAAACATCCAGCTTTCCATCCTTTAATCCCATCTGTCTCTCCTAATTATAAAGCAAAACAATTTGTTTCCCATCATGCAAAATATAACAAGCAGTTTTAGCCGATGCAATTGAAATTAAAGCAGTGGATTAGATTATCCTGTTAGGATGGGAAAAATAGATGGCAAGGCATGGCCAATTATTTCTTATACAAAGCAAGAAAAGTAATTGGTGATCATTAAAAAAAAAACTGAGTAAGTTTTGAATCCAGGACTATCTACCACAGGTCGTCCTTGACTTACAATCACAACTGAACCCCAAACTGTTGTTAAGCAAGGCAGCCATTATGCAAGTTTTGTGCCATTTTTGTTGTGGTTCGCCAGCGGCTGAGGTCTCAGAGAGCGAGGGTTGAGATGAGGGGCCTGCGTGTGATGCAGGAATGGGTTCAGACCTATGAGAGAGTGAAATGCTGCCTTTGGAGATTATGGAGGCTGGCAGCAGTGATGCAGAGGCCTCCGAGGAGCCTGTGCCCAATGCGCATACTGGAAGGAAAGAGGAGCTGCAGCAGCACAGGCGACTTGGGAGTAAGGCTACAAGGTAATGGCCCCTCCCTTAAGAGAGAAAAGCCAGCTGAGAAACCAGAGTCCTTTGCAGGAAGCAAAGAAGTTGTTGCACTCAAGCCTTGTGGACGTTCGGAGTATCTTGGTTGGTGTTTGGAGACTCTCTGTGTTTGAAATATTTCTTGGCAACTTTATCTAGTGTTCTTGGCAGCCTTGCACCTTGGCAAGGCTCGTTCTTATCAGAGACAATTAGTTTTAATAGCCTTTTAGCCGTGAAGAAATGGAATTCGTAAAGAATCATTAAAAGGTTTTGCTGTTATTTCCATTTCGTGTTTGTTTCCTTGGAACAAGGTTTGGGTCAGAACAATTTTAGAAACTTTCTGGCCACAATTGTTAAAGTGAATCACTGCAATTAAGTTAAATGAATCTGGCTTCCCCACTTTGCTTGTCAGAGAAGATTACAAAACGTGATGTGACCCCTGGACACTGCAATCAACATGAAATAGATGCCCATTGCCAAGCACCTGAATTTTGATCCCGTGACCGTGGGAATGCTGCAACAATCATAAAGTGTGAAAAAACGGCCATAAGTCGCTTTTTATAACGCCGTTGTAACTTTGAATGGTCACTAAGCAAACCGTTGTAAGTCAAGGACTACCTGTAGAGCCACGTCCCCCTATTTGATCAGAAGAGAAGGGGATAAATGTCATGAAATTGGAGAAAAGGGGAAATGGATCCGTTCTATGGCCCTTCTGCTGTAAGGTACTTTGCCTAGAAAAAAAAGAATAGGGTAAAGGCAGTTTACTGGGACATCTAACGACTGTACAGTTGTTGAAATTCAACAGGGAAAAAGATATTCAGAGCATGTGTAAGCATGCACATCATAGCTGCACATCATAGCTGTTGCCACTCCTTCAAGAGCTTGCATCTCCTCTTCCTGTGCTCCCTCCAATGCATATGAAATGGAACTGCCCAGAGGTCTTTAACATCTAACATGTACAGGTCAGTTTTAAAGAGAGATTTTTCATCAAGCAGAAAAGGAAACATGACATGCCTGCCTCGGTTTGAAGATGGACCTGCAAGCCTCTAAACTTACAAATCTATCAAACGTACAGCAGCAAAAGCGATGCTCCTTTTCCAAGATACTGCTCTCGTGTATTTTAACAAAGAAACTAAACCCACGACAGTAGTTACACTTGACTAAAGGGTACCTTACTTTGAATTTGGTCATCATACCCAAATGCAACAGGTCTTACAAGAAACAGCCTTAGTTTTAGGTATAGAAATATCTAGATCATACCTAAGGTAGACAATAAGGTGCAAGCTATATTGTTTGTATGCCACGTGTCTTTTTTTATGCCTTTAGGCTCAAAGCATTTATTTTCTGTCTATGAAAATAAGGCATTAAAAATAGAATTTTTAAAATGTCAAATAAACCTGCCTCTAATCTCTGGTAAATCTGTCCAGTGATATGTTCTTTGAGTCCTATAGAGATCAGATAGAGTATATTTTGACCACCATCTGGAATACTACATATCCCTTTAAATGCACAGCAAAAATCAGAGCCTTGATGTAGGTTCCCTATCACTGGAAAAGGCCATCTGTAGGGTTTAGTGATCTTGAAGAAAAGTGTTAGACCAATAACAAAATTCAATACCCAACAAGAGATGGACTCCCTGCTGTGTAAGGGTCTCCTTCACCGCCTCCCTGACTCTGGGAAGAAGTCCATCATCTGCCAATGCCATTTTTGAATGAACAAGTGTGACCTGGGAACATAAACATTAGCACGTTCGGTTGGTGAAAGTTATTTAGCAAACATCCATTGCCATATTGCAAGATTACGGTTGATCGGGGTGCCCAACCTTGGCAACTTGAAAACTTGTGGATTTCAACTGCCAGAATTCCCCAGCCAGCCATTGTAGGTACTTTTTTGCCACTGAAAAGCCATGTAATGTTCCAGATGTCATGGGGTAACTTCGCTGTGAGAAGACTACAGTGTTTTTCCAAACCTAAATTCAGATGTCCATCAAATTCTGCAACATTTTGGTAAAGAGATGAAGCTTAAATGTTACGGGCCAGAAATTCCAATAGTCAAAAAGACAATGTATTGGATGTTTCTGCCTTACATGAGAAGCTGTATTCAGTTCCCTTTATAATTCAGTTATTCACAAGAATTACACTAATAATTAGCAAAGTGGCTAGCAGGAAAAATTGATGTGAGCATTCATTCATATCTATTAAGTTTTAGCCTCCAGTCCTACAAATTTTTACTTGAAAATAAGCCTAGTAGAATTCTCCTAAAATATGGGGAGCTATATTTTTAAGACTTCTCTCTTGGACGGCATGCTGAGGAGCATAATCAGTCTTGCTCATAGTCCAGAACTAGGAGCAAACTAAAAGTAAAAAAAAAAAAGAATGTAGCTAGAACACATGAAATCATTATTATTCTACATTGACCAGATGTTTCCAAAAAGTCTGAAAGTAAGCAAAAAAGTTCTGACAATATTGCAAACTATGTCTTTGCTATTACAAGCAAGAAATTTTTTTGCTAATAATGAAGAGAAATTGTCACATACAGACGCCTAAAGAATAGCACATATATATGAAGCCAGACATTTGAAAAGGAAAAGATTTCATAGGAAATTTATCAATTCCAAAAAAAAGTACAGAAACAGCATTCACAAGTTTTAAATACAAATCAGCCTTGATTGCTGCTTTTGTCAACTTCTTTATCCTAAGTCTTTACAGATCACTCTTTTCAAGTGGCTTGCTACTTGATAAAATGACAATAAAATTGGTTTGTCAATGTTAGGTAAATAAATAGTGAGACGGTATTGAAGTACAGTAATTAGGTAGGAAGGAAGCCTTCTCTTCTGTCACTCCCACCCTTTGGAATATACTCCCTGCCCCAGATAACAGATAGCAGATAATCAGAGTTGGAAGGGACCTTATAGATCATCTAGTCCACACACCCACACCCCACACCCCCTCCAATCTCTTCTTGAAAATCTCAAGTGATGGCACTCCCACAACTTCCGAGGGCAACTTCTGTTCCATGGGTTGATTGTTCTCACTGTCAGAAAGTTTCTCCTTATTTCCAGGTTAAATCTCTCCTTGTTCAGTTTCCATCCTTTATTCCTTGTCGGCCTACAGGCGCTTTAGAAAATAGCTTGACCCCTTCCTCCTCTCTGTGGCAGCCCCTCAAGTATTGGAAGACTGCTATCATGTCTTCCCTGGTCCTTCTCTTCACTAGACTAGCCAGGCCCAGTTCCTGTAACCATTCTTCATATGTTTTAGCCTCCAGTCCCCTAATCATCCTGGTTGCTCTTCCCTGTACTTTTTCTTGAGTCTCACCATCTTCTTTATAATGTGGTGAACAAAACTGGATGCAGTACTCTAGGTGTGGCCTTACCAGGGCTTTATAGTGTGGTATTAGTACTTCCCTTGATCTTGATTGTATCCCTCTGTTAATACAAGTTAGGATTGCATTAGCTTTTTTGGCGGCAGCTTCACACTGCTGGCTCTTATTTAGCTGGTTGTCCACTAAGACTCCAAGATCCCTCTCACAGTTACTTACTGCTATTGAGCCTGGTTTCACCCAGTCTGTATGTATACTTTTGGTTTTTCTTGCCTAAGTGTAGGACTTTACTTTTCTCTACATTGAATTTCATAATGTTAGATAGGGCCCAGTGTTCAAGTCTGTCAAGATCCATCTGGATTTTGAGCCTATCTTCTTGGGTGTTAGCTATTCCTGCCAGCTTAATATCATCTGCAAATTTGGTAAATTCCCCTTCTATTCCCTCATCTAAGTCGTTAATGAAGATATTGAAGAGTACTGGGCCTAAGACTGAACCTTGTGGCACCCCACTACGTACTTCCCTCCATGTAGACTTAGACCCATTAAGGACGACTCGTTGAGTACAGTTTGCCAGCCAGTTGCGAGTCCATCTAGTGGTGGTGCTATCTATTCCACGTTTTTCTAGCTTACTAAGAAGTATGTTGTGGTTTACTTTGTCGAATGCCTTGCTGAAATATAAATATATTATGTCCACAGTATTTTGCTGGTCTATTAATTTAGTCCCTGTGTTGAAGAATGAAATAAGATTGGCTTGGCATGATCTGTTTTTAACAAACAAAGCAGCATCCCTCCCATTCTCTTGGCCTTTCAGAAGAGTTTGGAGACCGGGCTCTGCTGAATCACACGGGACTCCACACACAACCTTGGGAGTGGCTACCGTCTTAAGAAGCCCACCACCACCTAGAATACTAAATCCAGTTTTGGTCACCACACTATAAAAAAAGATGTTGAGACTTTAGAAAGACTGCAGAGAAGAGCAACCAGGATGATTAGGGGACTGGAGGCTAAAACATATGATGAGCGGTTGCAGGAACTGGGCCTGGCTAGTCTAGTGAAGAGAAGGACCAAGGGAGACATGATAGGAGTCTTCTAATATTTGAGGGGCTGCCAAAGAGAGGAGGAGGGGGTCAAGCTATTTTCTAAAGCACCTGCAGGCCAGACAAGGAATAATGGATGGAAACTGAACAAGGAGAGATTTAACCTGGAAATAAGGAGAAAAACTTTCTGATAGTGAGAACAATCAACCAGTGAAACAGCTTGCATTCAGAAGTTGTGGGAGCTGCATCATTGGAAGCTTTCAAGAAGAGACTGGACTGGCATTTGTCAGAAACTGAGTACGGTCTCCTGCTTGGGCGGGGGGGGGGGGGGGGGGCTAATCTTTTAAAAATGTTTTTAATTCAAGTATCCTATTCTTGTCTTAACTGTCACCTATTGAAATATGACTTTTATAGGGTTTTTATGTTTTGAACTATATACTGCCCAGGGTTGCTCTGTGAATGAGATGGCTGGATATATAGATAAATAAAACTACACTCCTCTCACATTCTAAAAAACCCAAACTGAATCAGGCAACACAGCTGGCCCCCAACCTCACCCCAATCCAGCTTACTCCCCTATCCTCTTCCCAACCCTCTGAAGGTCTGACAAGGCATTTACACCACGTGCAGTTCACATGTAAAGACAAATTTAGCCTCCACAGACATTCCCAGAGAAGCACCGTTGTAAACCAAATTATAGTTTCTAAGATTTTATAAAAGTTGAGGAACTTTAGAAGCTGAATGTCAGGACTCCAACAAATCCACCCCCATTCAAATCATAAGTCTCTAGCCGCGTATCTCAGAGAAAATAAACTTGATTTATTAGAAGTGGCTGTGTTGGTGTGAACTGAATGCAGCCGATACTAAAATACATCATTCATTTCCTCCTTGACCCTGATCTCCCCCCTCACCCCACCCCGGATTTATATTCTCCAATGGAACACATCCATAGCCAAGAGTCATCAATCATGCTCTCCAGTAATATTCTTGCGCTCCAACAACTTTGGGCTGCCAGGGCGATTGTCTAGGCACTTAAGGAATGCACTGTTTACCCACACTCCCTTTTTCTGGCAGCTAAAAAGACCAAAGGAGTATCTTTTTAGTTGACACTGAATTGATATAATTCATACTTATGTATGATTTGGCAGTATCTCAAAAATGCATCCAATCTATTCTCTTTCCTTTTTGGTGTGTGTCAACTCTAAGAGTTTGTAGCTGCTCATTTAGTCTTTGTTGACTCTGGATAATAAGGAATTTTAACTTTCAAAGCGATAACATAGTGACTGAGTGACAGGATGTGACTTCATACCTCCTTGTTAGGATAGGTTGTCTGAACTTCTGCAGCCATTTCAACCCCGGCAGAACCGCCACCTACGATTACCACCCGCTCAGCTTTTTCCACCTTTTAGGACCCAAAAGAAAAAAAAACAAGATGGAGTCATACTGTTCAGGATTCCATTACTTTAGATAACACATGGCTTCAGACAGGCTATTTCAACAGGAATCTTTTCTCTAACTAGAAAGAGAACTGATACTTAGAAATCCTTGGCAGCCTTGATCAAAAAATTTTTTTTCTTCATTCAGGATATATTGTCTATTCCTGTGATTGCGAACCTATGAGCCATTTGTGCAGGCACACGAGCCCCAGCCAAACTTACCTGCACTGCGCATGTGTATCCCTCCCAGGTGATTTTCAGCCTGTTTGAGGCCGTTTTGGCCTCCCATAGGCTCAGGGGAAGCCTCTGCGGCCTTTGGAGGCTGAAAAAATGGGCCCGTTTTCACAACTTCCAGGATTTCCAGAAATACCAGAAGTGGCCAAAATGGGCCCATATTTTGGCCCCCAAAGGCTGCAGAGGCTTCCCTCAAGCCTCTGGGAGGCCGAAAAAGGCCTCAAACAGGCCAAAAATTAGCTGGGAGGCACACGCATGCGCAGTGCAGGTAAGGGGGGTTGCCGGCATGCGCGCTTTCGGCACACTACAACAAAAAGTTTCGCTATCACTGGTCTATTCTATGTTCAACCAAATGATCCAAAATTCCCAAGGCAAATTTTGGGTATGCCTAACCTGCTTTTTCTCACAAATTCTAACTGCAAACATTATGCTCCTCTTTATAGAAATAGGGAGGGGGTGTTGCATTAGATTAGTGTTGTTGCACTTACAGCTTGACTATCTTAAGTGGTTCAAACTGATAATAGTCACACTAGAGATAACAGCAGAATTGATATGATGGATAATATTTCATCTTGTCAGTAATAAAATTGGGCTTCCTCACTTCCACACACCAAGGTGGCATCTTCAGCATAAATGAAGTATGCTGATACGATATAAGCTTGTATGTACTCGCCCAGAGTAAAAGCTCAGTGATTTCATTGCAGCTTATATAGATTACTGTCAGCCGCAAGCAATCAGAGCCACTCATGAATTACTAAAGTCAGTAACTCTATTAATAATCTACCACTTCTATTGTAAGAATCCCCCCTTGCCTTCTCCCGGGAATGACCAGATAAAGCTTCGTGGACCTTGAAGAGTTCAAGCTTCAGTCACTTGTGACTGCACAAGGATACCAAGCTAGGCCCTTGCTTGACCCTTCCTTCCAGCCCGCCTGGCAATTTCTCACTCAAGGAGTTTTCCAGGTTGAGCAAAATTAGATATATTGGCTTTGGGTTTTGTTTCTTTTCTTTGATTTTGTATGGTTTACAAGTAGTCCTCAATTTGCTACCACAACTGAGCCAAAAATTTACGTTGTTTGGTCCTATTTGTTACGGTTGTTAAGTGAATGACTGCAGTTTTCAAGTTGTTAAGTGAATCTGGCTTCCCCATTGACTTGCTTGTCAAAACGTCGCAAAGACGATCACATTTGGTTTCCACTTGGTTCTAGCATCTGCTTGCCACTGTCGTAGCCACAGCAGACGACGAGAAGTGATGTTGGAGGCCGGGGCCCTGGAGGAGAATCGGGCTGCATGCAGGGAGGAGTCGGCCGCTGAATTCAGCCGCCGCCACCAATTTGTTGATGTCCTGATGCATTCTGATTTCCTCAGGGAGAATCCTAGCTTGTAATTGGCGAAGCCAGAGAAGGGTTGTCCTAGTGAAAAAGGAGGTGGGTGCAGCTGCTTGAACCGCCCAGGCGTTGGCCTGGTGTGTTCCGCGGAAATTTTGTTCTGCCTTGTTGTCCTCTGTCTTAAGGGACACTGCAACCGTCATAAATATGAACCAATTCCTGGGCATCTGGATTTTGATCACATCATCTTAGGAATACTGCAATGGTTGTATGAAAAATTGTAATGGTTGTATGAAAATAAAATATTTTATTTTATTGTTTTACAAATGAAAGCAAATATACGTGTCCCAGGATAGTGATGTGAGATTAAATTTAGGTTGGTCACCATTTTTTTTTAGTTTGATGTTCATAGTTCAGAGTCACGATTACATGAATTGAGTGGTTGTATACATTTCCTAAGCTGAATTTTGATTAATTTCCTCAAATATTTCAGGCACTATAGAACTTGACTTGACAGAGAATCTTCTGTTACAGTTCCACCTACATGTGTTGAGAAATAGCCTGTAAATCCATTCAAAACAGTTTATCTCCAAGTTAGCAAACATTGTAATTAAAAACACTGTAATTACTTTAAGTAACCATTCTCTTTCCCATACAATTGATACATTTTATGTTACCTTTATTCATCATAGTAATGCTCCTACTTAAAAAATAAATAAATTCCTTTTTATGGATGCCACTAAACAAGCTGTTTTGAGAATATTTAAGCATGTTTCATAAACCGATGGGAAAAAATCGCAAATTTTCAAGTGAGGTGGGCAGAAGTCCAATTAAATGTTTTACAATAGTAGCAGTAATAATATTACTAATATGCTAGCAATCTTAACCACAGGCCAAGATTCTTATCTGCACGGCGAATGAAGTGAGGTGGCTAATTTGAAAGCCCAAGTCATACTTTTTAAAATATATTGCTAAAGAAAAATGTGATTGGAATCAATAACAAGCATTATATAAATACCATAAACCAGCCACAGATGGTCCCTACCAAGAAATTAACTAATACACACTTTACAGGAAAACAAAAGCAATGAACACCCCTTTCGCTTCTACCAATCATACCCACCTCTTTCACTATGTTCTCATAAGCCTGAATAGCCATCTCCATATTAATAAGTTCATTTAACTTCCCAGGAAAAGGCCCTTCACTCCCAGTGGCAAGGATCAGATGAGAAAATGAAAGCACCTAAGAAAGAATATCAGACTGAAGTTGCAGTTGTTGCAGAAGTTGTGTACTCTTTCACTAGTAACACATTTAGTTTTACAGGCACTCACTTTACCATCGTTCAGGAGGACCTGATGTTTCTCCAAATCAATCTCAATTACTTTGCCCTGCTGGAAACTGTCTTTGAAGGTCTCAGAGAAGGAGATAAAGGTTTTTTTTGCAAATCCTACAACATTATGCAGGGGGAAAAATGGATCAGTAGTAATTTATTAAAGAGCAGGGTGTCAAGGACCTCCACAAAACTTTTAACACATCTAAAGTGTGCGGATTCTCCAATTTTCATACCTTAAGCCTCATCAGTCAGTACTGTGGAAATAACAGCATACACTTTTAATGAGAAAATGTATCAGCATTATTTGCACATTTATGCTACGCTTTCAAGGCATAAATAAAATCAGAATAAATAAATAAAGTGTCCCACCTAGATAACTTTTTCTCAGTCCTACTAGTGGAATAAGTATTCCTGTTTGAAAACCACTGGTCCAATCTACACAAATAAATGGACTTTTTGCTACTTTAATTTGCCTTGATATTTCATTCGTTTTCCCCAATGTTTGAGAACCATCAAATCTGTCCCATGACGCCAGAGGTTACCTAAGTGCTCTGTTATTCTGTACTCTATTCTGTTTGTATGTACACTGAGAGCAGATGCACTGGAGGCAAATTCCTTGTGTGCCCAATCACACTTCATCAATAAAGAATTCGATTTCTATTTCTATTCTGTATTTTCACAAGATGGACTTTCCGGATATCTGGGATTACAACCATATTGATTGGAGGCAAAGGATACAGGAACTCCTTGACTTACAACTATTTCTTTAGTGACCATTCACAGTTATAATGGCACTGAAAAAAAGTGGCATAATTGTTTTTCACGCATAACTGCTGCAGCATCCTCAAGAAGCCGGTTTTATCCTAATTATCCTAAATTATCCTAATTATCCTAAAACAAAGTTTTCACCAGCTGGTGCCTTCCAGATCTCTGGCATTGCAAACATATTAGAGTCCAAGGAAGTTATGATTCAATATATCTACACAAGACAGTCCCAAATTGGAGGAAAGACAGCTCAAAAGAAACAGGAAATCCCCCACAAAAAGTTACCACTCTGTACAGAAGCCCGCAGAGCAGCCACATTGTGATGGAAGGAATCTCTCATGTCCACCAGGATGAAAGGGATCCCCCAATCCTGCAGGAGGCGGGCAGCTTCCATTCCTCCGAAGCCGCCTCCAACTACGACCACGCGGACAGAATCATCCACAGAGACCTTTGACCCCATCCTGAATCACACAGCAGCAACTGAAGGAGAAGGAAAGAGACCGAGATGCGGGATCATCGCTAACACGCGCCTTCTAGCTCAGGGGTCTCCAACCTTGGCAACTTTAAGTAAACTCGGCCAATGGCTAGATCAGCTAGAACAGGGATCTCCAATCTTGGCAACTTTAAGCCTGGAGGACTTCAACTCCAGGCTTAAAGTTGCCAAGGTTGGAGATCCCTGTTTTAGCCATTGGATGAGTTTACTCCTGCGTAGTATGGACTCCACCATGAGGTTCATCCTCCACCATGAGGTTTAGGGTATGGGGTTCTGGGTGTGCCACCAAACCAACCAACCAACCACCCAACCAATGATGGTTTACTGAAGAAACTAGACCAGAGGTGCACAAGACAATGGGTGAGGCGGGTCAAGACAGAATTTTGCACAACCATGGTATGGCTTGCTTAGATTGACCTCACAAACCTTTGTGGTTTGTGAGTTGGGTTCTGGGTGTGACACCAAAACAAC